GGTGGCGGCGGAGACGAGGGCGCCGTCGTCGATGCCGCCGTCGCTGCCGCGGAGCTGGGGCGCGAGGCGCTCGGGGCAGCCGCGCCCGCAGCGCAGGGCGTCGTCGGCAAGCAGGCACGGCGGCTGGCCGGGCGCGCCGAGCGGCGGGCAGCTGCCGCGGCCGCACTGGCCGAGGTGGAAGCAGAGAAGGTGATGCACGCGTCCGGCCTGGAGTCGCTGGGCTGCGGCGCCGCGGACCACGCGGACGGGCCCCGGGTCATCGCAAGCGACTCGTTCGAGGACGGCATGGCCGACCTGGAGCCGACGGGCATCCACGCCGTCGAAGCGAAAGACATCGGGAGCAACGGCAAGTCGGACTTGGCCGGCAATCTGCCGGAGCCCTGCGACACGCGAGCGGACGACGCCGTCAAACGCCAGGCCGTGAAGAAGGGGCGGGTGATCGAAGAGCTAGCGCGACCCCTGCTGCTGGCATGGTGGCGCTCGTCCCTGAGAACGCGGAGAGCATCCGGGAGTTCGGGCCAGCCATGAAGCGGGCGGAAGACCTGGACATCGAGCTGCTCCGCATCGCCGTTGGCGACGAGTCGGACTCGTCCTTCGAGATTCCTGCGGACTCGCCCTTGGCGTCGAGTCGGACTCGACAAGAATCTCGAAGGACTGTCCTTCGAGATTCTTGCGGACCTCTGGTGCCGAAACGCCCCGAAGCGGCTGAATGGGCGGGTTTGGCGACGAGACGTGCGGGGGGCGCGGTCAAGTCGGTGGCCATCCGGCAGCTTCGCGGCCCATCCCCCTGTCGCTTCCCAGCGGCAGCGATGGGACGGGGGGTGGGCTGCGCTTTCGGGGGGCCCAGTCCTGCTGTCCAGTCAGGGGGGCCCCGCTGAAAAAAAGGCAGCTCACGCTGCTCATCGATGAGGTTTGACCTCGCCCCTACAGAGCACTCATTTGTAATTCCGGTCATTTGTAATTCCGGTCATTTCCAATTCCGGCCACGAATTAGAAATGAAGCGCGCCGAAGGGGCGGCGGAGGCCACGTGCAGCACACGAATTAGAAATGAGCACTCTGTAGGGCCAACCCATACCAGACCACACCCCCCGAGGTCCTTCCCTCCCACATAGAATGGTCATTTCACGAGTTGCTTCAGAAGGCTCTTGCTTCCTTCGTCCCCCGACGGATTGAGCGGAATCAGGCTTTTATTCTCAAGGTGTTTTGCGGCCAGCGTCATCCAGGTGACGTTCAAGCTCTGGTTGAAATAGATACGAAGTCAATGTCGTTGATGTCGAGATCTGTGCCCTTTCGCTCGAACTCATCATTGATCCTGTGCGTTGCGATTGAACTCGCAGTGGCTCTGTTGCTCTGTGGGCTTCCCACGTCCGTGCAGGGAGGGTGCAATGAATTTGTGGGGGGGCCCTGTGAAACGTTCTCTGCGCCTCGTTGGAGGGAGCCCCCCCCCTCCAGTCCTGGCTTGCTCTTGGAGCATCGCGCCGTTGTCTCAGCGCCAGGCCGCTCAGGCTAAGGCCTCCAATTATGTATTCCAGGCGCTGGTTGGGTCGTTGGCTGCTGCAACGACTTGTAGCGACGGGGGGGCGGATGGAACGCCCAGCCCCCTCCCTCCAGGGAACAAATGGCCATACCTTCCTGGCACGTTCGTCCGTTGCGTGCGATAGCGGCGTCTCCCGCAGCTTCGCGTACAGAACTCTATCAGTTAAAGGGGCCCCAGAATACACAAATAAATACACACAAATAAAAGGATTCCCCATATTTCCCCATATTTTCTGGGTGTCTGTCTTCCGCCCCACTTCCCATATTTTCCCATATTTTCCTGGGGATCGACGATGAATTGTGTCTCTGTGTGTTTTCCCCTCCTGATCAGTGCGAGCTTGGCTTGACAAGTGCTGCTCCGACCCAGGTCCTCTCCGCGAGCCTCCCCTCTCTCCACCCTCGGCTGCTGGACGCTCCTGGAGGAGAGGAAAGTGCAGCCACCCAAGACGCCTCCGCAGGGCCACGGTTGGGCGGGATCCAGAGTCGTCAAGATTGAAGGGGCCCTGGGACACACAAATAAATTCACACAAATAAAAGGATGCCCTATATGTTCCCATATTTTCTGGATGTTCGTATTCCCCCCACTTCCCATATTTTCCCATATTTTCCGGGGAGTCGAAAATTATGTGTGTGTGTGTGTGTGTGTGTCTGTGTTTTTCCCCTCCTGAAAGATGCAGAGATGTGCAAGCAGATTGCCCTAGCGATGCTCGATCGTACTCATGAGGATGCTGCAGTCGGTGCATGTGACAGCTTGGCTGATCCACACGCTGCCGAAGTTTTGCAGGTGCTCATGCCCGCCGACTCCGCTGTTGAGGAGGCTCCTGAGCTCGGGCCTGGCTTTACGAAGACGTGCCCCGCCAAGCAAGGGCCTGGCATCTCGCGGATCCGCCGCTTGCCTGACCCTGCCCCTGCTGCTGCCTCTCGGAGGCCGAGGCTCCCGTTTCATCCACACGGGGAGCGACTGCTCTGGGGTGCGCACTCCGTCGCCGTGGAGCTCTCGTCTGTCCCCAGGGACGCGCAGGGGCCTCCACCTGATACCCTTCAGGGGGCCACAAGCGAACCCCACCCCTACCCCCCACGATTTCTGAGGGGGAGGGTGGGGTTCCCTTCGCTCGGGACCTCCCGAAAGAAGTGAACCCCACCCTCCCCCTCAGAAATCGTGGGGGGCAGGGGTAGGGTTCGCTCGTGGCCACCCAACCCTTCCCCCGCCTCCGCCGCCCTCGCCGCCTCTGCCGCACGCCGCGCTCGACCGCATCGGGGCCCACGGCACCGAGGCGCTCCGCACCCCCCCCCCCGGGTGGATCCAGGGGCCGGATCCGGCACGCGGCTGGCCTGGCCGAGCGGCAAGGGGTCTCTCCCCAAGCTGCCTCCAGCAAGGGTGACGATCGGGCTGCTGCCCGCCTGCTTTTCAGAGACGGCCAAAGCCCTCTGTGGCACATTGGGCGGAGGCGCAGGAGCAGGCGCAGGAGGAGGAGGAGGAGGAGGAGGAGGAGAAGGAGGAGGAGGAGCAGGAGCAGGAGCAGGAGCAGGGCTGGGGAGGCGAAGCCAGGGGGAGGCGGAGAGGCGCGCCGCCGTCCCATCCGCTCCCTTGGCCTGTTCGTGCAGGCTCCCGTTCCGCCCTACGACGACGACGACGACGACGACGACGACGACGACGACGACGACGGCGACGACGACGACGACGACGCCGATGACGACGACGACGACGACGACGACGACGACGAAGACGACGCCGACGACGGCGACGCCGACGACGGCGACGACGACGACGACGACGACGCGCTCCAGCGGCGCGACCGGGGAGGGAGCAGATGGGCGTGCAGCTGGACTTCCACAGGTGGTTCCAGGCAGCCACGGCAGGACGATCGTGGGGGGAGGGGCTGAGGAGAGCATGGGATGGGGAGGGATTGTGTGATTATGTGGTGCCCTGTCTTCTTTTGTCTGGGGTTGCTGTTTGCAACCCCGTCCTTGGGCTGCGGGCTGACTGCAGTGCCCCCCCCCGCCCCCGCAGAGCTCAGCCGACTGAGCCATGGGAGGTCCGCGACCGCCAGCCGATCGATCCCATCCTCGTCGTCTTCATCGTCGTGTGATTCCTCCTCCTCCCTCCTCCTCCTCCTCCTCCTCCTCCTCCTCCTCCTCCTCCTCCTCCTCCTCCTCCTCCTCCTCCTCCTCCTCCTCCGCCTCCGCCTCTGCCTCTGCCTCCGCCTCCTCCTATTCCTCCTCGTCCTCCTCATCCTACTCCTCATTATCATTATCACCGTCATCGTCATCGTCGTCGGCGTCATCATCATCATCATCATCATCATCATCATCATCATCATCATCATCATCATCATCATCATCATCATCATCAGCATCATCATCGTCATCATCATCATCATCATCCTCATTATCATCATCATCATCATCATCAGCAGCATCATCATCATCAACAACATCATCATCAACAACATCATCAGCAACAGCACAGCATCAGCATCAGCATCAGCATCAGCATCAGCATCAGCATCAGCATCATCATCATCATCATCATCATCATCATCATCATGTTCATCATCATCCGAAACATCATCATCATCAGCATCATCATCAGCATCATCATCGTCATCGTCATCATCATCATCAGCATCTTCATCGTCATCGTCATCATCATCATCATCATCATCATCATCATCATCATCATCCGAATCAGCATCATCAGCATCGTCATCACCGTCATCGTCGCCTTTGTCATCAGCATTATCAGTATCATCATCAGCATCAGCATCATCAACATCAGAATCCTCATCTGCAGCAGCATCAGCATAACCATGGCCATCATAATCATAACCACCATGACCATGCACACCCTCGCCCTCCTCATCCCCTCATCACCCCCTATCATCATCACAGTCAGGAGTCACCATCATCATTATAATCCTCTCATCCTGCTCCTCCTCGTCCTCATCTGGATTCTTCAGCTCGTCCTCGGCATTAACCGCCGCTGTCTCCTCCCCTTCCTGCACCTCTTCCTCCTCATAACCGTCATCATCACGTTCGCCATCACCATCATCGTCATTATCCCAGGCTTACTCCTTCTCCTCCCCCTTATCCTCATCCTCCTCATCAGCATCTTCACCATCACCACCACCAACACTGTCATCATCACCACCACCATCAGCAGCAGAAGAAAAAGAGGCCGTCTCCTGCTCCTCCTCCTCCTCCTCCTCCTCATCCTCCTCCTCCTCCTCCTTCTCCTGCTCCTCCCCCTCCTCCTCCTCCTCCTCCTCTTCTTCTTTTGCCTCCTACTCCCTGCCTCTGCCACTGCCTTCGCCTCTGCATGTTTATGAGCATTTTCATGTTCTGCATCTCGACCGTTCCCGCTACATCGGCCACCACAGACTGCAGCGAGGGGGGTGGGGGGACATATCTCTGCCGTCGACCCCTACCGCTGAGGAGCCCATACTTTCTCATCAAGCGCCGAGCCTGCCTTCGGTTGTTGCGCGAACTCCTGAACATGGGTTAACAAATTCAGTCAGCTCCCCTTTGGCGGCGAAAACTCGACGCCAACTCGCTTTTTCAACTTACGCTCTGCAGCAGAGAAGTTTATGAGTCTAAGCGACACGAACTTACGCTGAAAAGATGCAGTCGCGCGCTAACACGCTGGAAACATCATCCGGAAGATGTTGTAAGCAGTGGCGTGGAGACCTAACCAGCGCGGAATAACTTATATTATTGCAAATGCGATCAGCGCACGCCAAAAAAGAAGCTGGACAAGTATGCGCACACGCGCCAAGATCGGTCATGTGCAAGGCTCGGCAGCTGGGCAAAACATATTATTGCTAGAGGACTGAAGCCGACATGAGGATACACTTCCGGACGCGCGCCGGCACCTCTTGCGGCGGCCCTGGACCCGCCTCCCCGCCGCGGGGGTGGGGTGTGGCGAGGGGGGGGGCTGCGGCGACCCGAAAAGCCCGAGCGGATGGCCGAAAATTTGCGCTCACCGCGCTCCTTGGCATGCGCGGTGTGCCCGTGCACCGGCTTGCCGCCGTGGTGCCGGAAGGCGGCTCCCCAGGGCCAGCGTCAAGTCGGGCCTGTCCCTCTACAGGGGAAGATTCAAACAGAGTCCAAAACTCGTCTGGGGACGATTGCTTGACTCTTTTTGAATATTTTTGGGGGCATGGTTTGCGTGTCTTTCATTCTTCGCCCAAAACCCCCCTCTGTAGGGGGACACGCCCGACGTAAGGCCAGCGCCAGCAGACGCGCAGAAGAGGCCGAACCGCCCTCGCTGCGCGAAGGCCTGCGCGCGCGTGCCCGCGTCGGTCAGCTGCGGGCCTCCCCCGCCGGTCGCAGCACGTGGATGTGCCCGTGCACGGGCTTGCCGCCGTTGTAGCGTAGCACCACGCTGCTCCTCCGGGTCAGCGTCAGCCCGCAGGCCTCTTCGGACGCCCGAAGCGGGCACGGAAAAGATGGGCACAGTGCACGCAGCAGATTTCGGACCCCCCCCCCCCTTGCCCAATCCCCCCCCGTCCTCCGGCCCGAAACTCCCCCCTCCTGCCTCCTTTTTGGACGCCCGAAATGGGTACGGAAAAATGAGCACACTGCCCGACAACAAGTGCTGTCCCAAACCAACAGCGGCCGCCGTTGGGCAGGCGGCCGTCTGTCCCAAACGGACACGGGCCGCGGCGGCGCGGACAGCGAGTCCTGTTCGGGATGAACAAGAGCTGCTGTTGGGCATCGTACCCACTCTTCCCGTGCCCACTTCGTTCGTGCAGAGCCTCCGCAGTCGCGCGCACATACGCCGCCGAGTGCAGGTATCTGCCCTGGGGGCCCAGGCGGAAGCCGCCAGCCGGCACTCTGCCAGCGTCCTCGTTGGCCCCGCCGCCGCGGGGCGGTGCCTCGGTGGAGAACACCACCAGGCCGTGCGGCCGCGCCAGGCACTGGGAGGTGGCCGACAGCACGGGGGCCAGGTCCCCCACGTACACGAACACGTCCGCCGCGACGACGAGGTCGAACGTCGGAGCGGGGCTGCCTTGCCCCTCGGGCGCAAAGATGTCCACGAGGTCGCCTGGAAGGAGAGACAACTGCAGGAACACAAACTTTCGGAGGTCCGCGCAGATTTCTTGCATCGGCGCTGGACACCCCTCCCTGGCGCGCGGAGCGCGCCAAGGGCGGCGCCAGAGGAACCTCCAGGGGGGCCCAGCGCCGACCCGAGAAATCCGCGAGCTCTCACAGTTTGTGTTCATGCCGATTTCTCTTCCTGGATCGCCGCACACCAGACGATCGTACCCGACACCAGGCCCGTAGTTTTCCCGCGCCTTGCGCAGCATCCCTGCCGACAGGTCCACTCCTTCAAGGCGGCGCACTCCCAGCTGGCGCAGCAGCGGCACAGTGAGACCAGTGCCGCAGCCGAGGTCAGCGCAGCACTCGAACCCCGCCTGGCACGGCGCCGCCCGCTGGATCTCGTCGGCGATCATCTGCGGCGTCCTGTAGCCGAGGTCGTTGACCAGGTGGTCGTCGAACCTGTCGGCGTACGCGTCGAAGAGGCCCGCGACGTACTGTGCCGGCGCGGCGGCGGTGGCGTCGCCGCGCAGCGCCGCGAGGAAGTGGCTGGCGGTGCAGGCCTGGTTCCTGTGGGCTGCCGACGGTGCGCTGGCACCGGGCTCCGGGGGCGACCTGCTCGCCAGGGCGAGGTACCGCTCCAGGCACTCCGCGGCCTCCACCCGGTCGGCCTCGGCGGTCCTGTCCTTCGACGGAGGTCTGTCTGAGGTCCGCTCGGATTTCTTGCCTCGGCGCTGGACCCCTCTGGCGGCGCCTCAGGCGCCGCCCCTGGCGCGCTCCGCGCGCCAAGGAAGGGGGATCCAGCGCCGATCCGAGAAATCCGCGCGGACCTCCGACGAGTTATGCCGACCATGCTTCTTGACTATTTGGCCATGGGCGAATAGCATGTCCGTGTATCCGCAGCAGCGCGAGCCTGGCCTCTGGGCCGCGACCCCGCGGATGCGGGCCGTTTCGTCGCGGATGCCCCGCGCGGAACCTGCCCATATGCGACCGCGTGTCCGCGGGATCGCGCCCTGGAAACCAGACCGCGAGGGCGTGCTCTGAGATCCGACGTTGCAAAAAAAAATGCAACGTCGCAAAAATCACGCCCGGAGACCTGGACCTCATCTTTCCGCGCCATTCTTCGAGCCCGATCGATCTGTGAGGGTCCCGGGGCCCGAAATCGAGCGAAAACGCCCGTTGCAGAAAAATCGCGACGCCAGGATCTCAGGGGAACTAGGTGTGCGTGCGTACGCCGCTCGTGACTCGAGCCCTCGAGCCACCTCGAGAAACGGCAGCTCACCGTCGGTCCCCGGCCCCCTCCCGGGGCCCAGCCCTCCGAGCGGCGCCCCGGCCGTGGCGACGAGGGGGCCCCCCAGAGGCCCACTGCCGACGCCTCGGCTCGCCCTCCCCCGACAGCATCGGCCCCCCGTCGCAGGCCGATCGGGCCCTCGCCCGGGACCTGGCCATCGCTCGGACGTCCATCCCCTGCGCTTTTCTCGGCTTCGCGCGTGGCTTTTCCGCAGGATGACCCAGGATGCTCCTCAATAATCCCCGCCGAGGACAAAAAACAAAAAAAACAAAAAAAAAAAAAAAAAAAAAAAAAAAAAAAAAAAAAAAAAAAAAAAAAAAAAAAAAAAAAAAAACGTCCGAGCGATACCAAGGGACGAGATCGGGACGAGCCGGGCAGCCCCCGGAGCGCCACACGCGGCGAGGCGCGGCCGCCGGAGAGCGCCCCCCGGAGCATGGAGAACCGCCGGGAGCCGACGAAGCCGCCCAGAAGACCGGGGGCCGACATCGAGCCGTCCTCGCCCTCCTCCCCAGACCCCCGACGTAATGATTTTTTCATTACGTCGACCCCCAGAGGTCTGGACCCTTTCCCCATGACCGGCTTTGCATCCTGAGTCGTTTTTTGACGCTCCCGAGGCCCGGTGAGGGCCCCTGGCGGCCGAAAATTACGAAAAACATCCCGTCATGATTTTTTCATTACTCGAGGGGGTCTGGGTCTCTCTCTCTCTCTCTCTCTCTCTCTCTCCGCCTCCTCTCCTCGCCCTTCCCATCGGCCTCTGCCGCCCCGTCCTGGAGCTGGCCTCCCCGGCCGGAACCGCGCGCCCGGGGTCGTCCGGGGGGCCCAGAAGCCTGGAGCCTCGAGCCCGTCCTGGAAAAGATCGAGCCCATCCTCGCCCTCCTCGATCTCCCCAGACAGGCGACGGCCTGATTCTTTCAGGGCGGCGCCCCCGCAAGTCCCGACCCTTTCCCCGGGACCGGTTTTTCGCCCTGCGCCGTTTTGTGACGGTCCCGAGGCCCGGCGAGGGCCTCCTGGGGCTGAAAATAGCCAAATCCCGTCCTGATTTTGTTGTACGACGGGTTCTCTCTCTCTCTCCGCCTCGTCTCCTCGCCCTCCCCTCGGACGCGCCCGCCACGTCCTTGAGCAACATCCCCAGCCGGAAGCGCGTGCCCGGGTCCTCCGGGCGGAGCCAGCAGGCCGCAGAAGGAGGAGGGGGAGGGGGAGGAGGAGGAGGAGGAGGAGGAGGAGGAGGAGGAGGAGGAGGAGGAGGAGGAGGAGGAGGAGAAGGAGGAGGAGGAGGAGGAGGAGGAGGAAGGGGGAGAATGAGGAGGAGGAGGAGGAGGAGGAGGAGGAGGAGGAGGAGGAGGAGGAGGAGGACGAGGACGAGGGGGAGGAGGGTCCTCGGGGCGAAGCCGGCAGGCCGCACGCAGCACCTCGGCCCGCTCCTCGTCCAGGCTCGCGGCCGCCTCCGCGAGGCCCTGCGTGGCGGCGCGCACCAGGCGACGCCGGCGACGCCGACGACGACGACGCCGACGACGACGACGACAACGACGCCGACGACAACGACCACGCTGACGACGACGACGACGACGACGACGACCACGACGACGACGACGACGACGACGACGACGACGACGACGACGACGACGACGACGACGACGACGACGACGACGACGACGACGAGGGGGCTATCTGGCCCAGCGGTGAGGGCTGTAGTGGTTGCGCTGCGTGCTCTCTGTCTCCTCACGGCGCCGTGGCCGCCGTCTGAGTAGGAATAGGCTGGGGGGGGGGAGGGCGTCTTAGAAGGCGGGGGGCCCTTCTCCGAGGTTCCTGGGCGCTTCCAGGAAGGCGCCTCGGAAGCAGGCGAGGGCTTCTGAGACGCCCCCCCTGCCATCTCAGAACCCCCTCCCACGCTGCCCCTTGTCCGCGACCTCCGCCAATGTGTTTTTTTCAGTGCGCGGCCCCAGGGGTCTCGACAACGTCCCCAGGGCCTGTTTTGCGCCCTGGCTACATTCTTGCTGGCCCAGGGGCTCGAGAACGGGCTCCAAGGGCCGAGAACGAGGAAAAACGACGGGATTGAAACCCAATCAAATCGATGAAGGTCGCGGAATAATAAGTGGCATCGAGGGAAGCGCCCGGACTGTGCGGCGGGGCCAAGATGACTGAAGAGCGGATGAGGGAAGGAGGAGGAGGAGGAGGAGGAGAGGAGGAGGAGTAAGGAGGAGGAGAGGGAGGAGGGATGAGGAGGAGGGAGAGAAGGAGGAGAGGGGGAGGGGAGGGGAAGGATGTGAGGGGAGGGAAAAGGGGGGTTGCGCGCTCCGCCCGGGGCCTTCTTCGACGCCAGCTCCCGCAGCAGCGCCAGCGCCTTGGCGAGGTGGCAGAACGCGACCCAGCGCTGGGGGTCTGCGGCCGCGGCCTCGCGCAGCAGATCCGCCGCCTCCGCCGCAGACTCCCGCCCGAAGAGGCGCACGAGAGCGACGCCCAGGGAGCTCAGCAGCCTCGCTCAGGCTGCTCCTCCTCCTCCTCCTCCTCCTCCTC